TTGCTTTGCTAACTCGACGAGTTGGATCGAGTTTTCCCGCCTTCTGGATACTGAGCGAACTTGACGAGTTGGCTAGGGTTTTTCCGATTTTTATGAACATTGAAGGAACTCGATGAGTTGCTAGATGCACTCGGTGAGTTGGGTCAACAGGGACTGATGACCTTGACTGTTGATTGTTGACTTTAACCATGGTTGACCAAGTTTGACTTTAAGGGTATTTTTGGTATTTCAAGATTTTAATGAATTTAGTCACATGTTGGTTGCAGGCAGCTGAGTTCGGGGCTGTGAGTTGGGATTTGATCGTATCAGTTCAACATTACTTGTGAGGTGAGTTTTCCTCATTATACTCAAGGGTCGAAGGAACCAAGACTGGCCCTTTGGATTGTTATCCTGCTTTATTATTGTTATGATCTGTTAGATCAGTATCATGGTATATAGGATGTTTCTATGTGGTTATGATATGTTAGATCGGTTTCCTGGTAGATAGGATGTTGCTATGCTTAGTGATCTTCAGATCGGTTTGACTGTCCGTAGAATGTTATTTGTTTATCTTATATATATGCATATGTTTGATTGGTGTATGAGGCTATTCTGCTTTGTGCATGAGCCAACAGATTGGGGCATTCCAACCCGATGATTATGGCCAGAGAGTATTCCATCCCGATGATGATTAGACTTATAGTATGTGGACATTCCAAACCAATGGTTGTGGGTCGAGGGTATACCATCCCGAGGATGATTGGACACGTAGTATATTGGCATTCCAACTAGATGGTTGAGGGTCTGGGGCATTCCATCCCGATGGTTGATTGAGCCCATAGTATGCTGTTATTATATGTGTGTTATTGTTGTGAGAGTATTTTGGGGGAACTCACTATGCTTCATGCTTACAGTTGTGGATTTTGTTCCAGGTACTTCGGATGATCATGGGAAGGTGAAGGCTTGATCGTGCACCTCCTCATATTTTATGATATGATTTCTAAGATTTCTCTGATGTTAAACTATTTTGAAAACAATTTATAAACAATGGATGGTTTTGGAATGTTTGACAAGTTTAAATTTTTATGAAATTTATGGATGCTACATTATTACTAATAAAATAATGGACAAAATTATATAAAATGGTCTTTTGTTGGTAGAAAATACCACCGTAAAGTCCGTTGAGTAATTTTGAATATGAATTGATCCCTAAAAGTACTTGTAAAATAACTAAAATACCCTTAAATATATGTTGCATTGTGTGTGTGCGTGTGTGTGTGTATATATATATATATATATATATATATATATATATAACAAATAGGTCCCACCTCTATCGCTCTTTCTCTCTAAATCCCTATAACTATAATGAAAAAACACATAACACACATGCACCTCCAACACATATCTCCCTTCCTCATCCTCCATCCACTATCCCTCTTATTTGTTCACCTACATCTCCCTTCCACATTCACTCACCAAGATTACACTCCAACCCATATATTTGAATCCATATCCTTGATCCACCATCCTAATTGCCTATCTTTCTCTCCCATCCCTTTTTTGCAGACACAAAACCAAATCGAAGATATAGAAATCGATGAAGATAGGGGTGGCTATTTTGATGGTATATGATAGTTTAACAAAGACGCCATTGTATTGTTTAGTGAATATGACTATAACACCCCAATTTTCAAGACAAAAAATTTCATTTTTGATATAACGATTTAGAAAACAGTTATAAGAAACATCATTGTGTCACATCATTTCATAAAACCATAATCTCATGTTTCAAACCTATATCATAAAAATAGTAATAATGTCAGAGTATAATACCAAGAATCTCATAATGCGGAAATCCTGCGTGTGTGTGATGCGCTGCTACCGTGCTGACTCATTCCCCTTCGATGAAGAGGTACCTGAAAAAAAAAAAAAAACTAAAAACTGTAAGCACAAAGCTTAGTGCGTTCCCATATCATACCACATACCATACATAACATATACTACATAACATAACTGGATACTAACTACTCCTTCGGTCCTGTCGCCTGGTACCTTTCCTAGCATATCCGGGTGCTGGCCTCCCCTTCGACCATGTCGACCGGTACCTTGCCTAGCATAATAGGGTGTTGGCCTCCCCTTCGGTCCTGGCCACCGGTACCTTTCCTAGCATATCAGGGTGTTGGTCTACCCTTTCGTTCCTTTCGACAGGTACTAGGGACTCATTCACCCCTACTCTACCACATAACATACTAGTGCTAAAACATACAAGTCATCTACTGCCTATCTTGTTTGGGTACTGACATACTCCTTCGGTCCTGTCGACCGACACTGGGATCTATACTACCCCTACTATTACATATCACATAATCATCATACAATACTAGCACATGAACGTAGCAGATAACAATGTACCAGATAATTATCACGAAGACAATTATCTATACTATAGCTCTTACTAGTGGGTCGACCTTGGTGCCTTCGACCCACTCCTAATGGAAGGTAACTCACCTCAATATCGTGAAGCGTCTGAACTGTTCTTGATGTCGGGATCAACTCCTCTCAACTCCTACATATAACAACCTTCCTTAATTACCATTACATACTCTTGACCCTTTCAAGGGTCATCTTAGGTCAAAGTCAAAGTCAAGGTCGACACCCTGGTCAAAGTCAACTTTTAGTCCAAGTCAACATCTGGTTGACTCAACTTGTCGATTTGGTCCACCAACTCGTCGAGTTCCATAACTCACAACATCCGAGCACTTCAATCCTACTCATCGAGTCTTTCAAGAACTCATCGAGTTCTCCTTCGTACAGAATCGGGACCTTTTGCCCATGACTCACCGAGTTCATCCTTGAACTCGTCGTGTCCCGCCTCATACAAGTTGAAGTGCTTAGTCCTTGACTTGCCGAGTTCTTCCTTGAACTCTTCGAGTTCTTCTTCATATAGTTGTGACATTGCCTTGAACTCACCGAGTTCATCCTTGAACTCGTCGAGTTCTTCGATCTTCAGGTCCATATTCACGTCCATCTTGTTGAGTCCTCTTCTAGACTCAACCAGATTGATCAGAAACTGAAAAAGTTGGGAACCATAACCCGACTCACCGAGTCCCATGAATGACTCGTCGAGTCCCCCAAAGTCCATGTCCATACAGTTGATTTCAGGCGGGCTTAGTGCATGCAGAACATAGATCTGGCCTCTTAGGGTCTATATTACACGTAAAGTCACGAACTTTACGTCCATGCATGGGTCTTCAAACTCAAAAGACCAAAAAATGAAGTCTACAAGGTGCATGGACTCCCGTGGCCATAAAGTTGGCACTTTTATGCCATGGGAACCCTCAATGGTTCAAGATTTTAAGTTATACACCCTTTGAACCACAAAATCCCGAAAATGGCTCTACTAAAGCTTGGAAAAGGTAAAAACTAGCCCTAACTAGAAATCTAAGAGATAAATGGTCAAGGTTGAAGCTTTTTAAGTAAATAACCTGGAAATGTGCCACAACCTCTGGATCTACATGTTTTCTCTTGATCTCCCAAGCCTCTGCTTTCTTCTCAAGCTTCAAACACACACACACACAAAAAGGCACAACAAGCTCAAAAACACTTAATAGATGATTAGGGTTTCGTGAAGATGGTCTAAGGGCGCTGGAGGCTGTAATGGAGACCCTATAAGTTGCTTAAATAGGGTGCAAACCCTTAAAATTAGGGTTTCATCCAGACGGGTCTACTCGTTGAGTCGGGGCCTCCGACTCGGCGAGTAGATTCTTCCACCCGCGTCCAAACTTTGCCTCGACTCGGCGATTTGGGGCCTCCAACTCGTCGAGTCCCAGAGTAAAAGTGCAAGAATTCATACAGGAACCGGGCGCTACAATGATATATAAGTTGATGGATAGGTAGTTGGATAAGGGTTAGATAACACTATAGCCCATAGAGGATGTTAATGAGGTGATGTAAGTGGTGATGGTAAAGAAAGATGATTTGTGAATTGTAGTGATGTTGGAGCTATGGGAGGTATTAATGTTATGCATAGGTGAATGGCTTTTTTTTTGTCGATAAGAAATTTAGAATTTAAGCTGAGAGAATATGTTGGAAATGGACAGTTGAACATGGTGAAAATTGGCAAATAATGGTGTAGCTTTCAAGCTCCACCCTTCCTCGCTTCATCTTCCCCCGCCTCTTTATATATCCTTCTATGTACTTTGTTAGACAAAAATCAATGGTGGTGATGATGATTCATAAAAACGACCATGGATAGGGATGAATTTTTTGTTTACCCTCAAGTATATAGAGATTACATAAACAATCTTTATAGGTTTAATTATAAAATAACAAAAAAAAAAAAAGGGAGAAAGGATAAATTATGTATTTTATATGTATTTAACGGTGTCTTTTATCGTTGTTAGTCTTAAGGACCAACCATACAAGAAAATTAAACAACAAAAACCATTTATATCCGAAATTCCTCAAAAGGACCTTGTAGTATTTTCTGCCAACAGTAAGGCCCATTTAGGTAATTGTTTTCAAAATAATATGATATGATACTTTTATCTAATAATAATAAAGATAAAATACAAATTTACATTTTAAGGATTAGGATAAGAATATGTTGTTGAGATCATGCCATATGTACCAAAATAATGTGGCTTTGAAAGCAATTCCGAAATTTAATTCTCATGACATTATCGTTTTATAGTTGACAATGTGGTTTTTCATTTAATGTATTTGTTTAATTTTATGTGAGGCACCACATAAAACACACTTACACACTCAACTTAACTTATGTATTTGTTTAATTTATATATTCGATTAATAAAATTCAGTCGTCTTTATTTTTGTTTCTACCTCCACCCTCTCTTCAAACCTTATTTTTGCATCTTCTTATCACCTCTATCGCTATAATTATTATTACAACTTTTTTATAAATTGTTTTTTTATATTTAAACAGAAATAATCTGAAAATATATTGTTTTTATAATATTAACATAACATTAAAATCGAAATAAAAGAATTTAAACAAAATCGTGTATAAGATTTATATATAATTATATTCATAAATACTGTAACTGAATGTTCTTTGTACGGTTTGTTTTTAATTAAATTACAGAAAAATAATAAATAAAAGTTTACCATAAAAATATTGAATCACCGCCAAAATTTGTTAGAAAGGCAAGAAAGCGTTGTCATGTTCCTTCTCACGGATTTGGACGTCAGAATCATCGACTTGAAACACTCCTTGAACAAAAGCCTCAATATCGATCTTATTTACATCCATGCCATCAGCATCCACGTCCTCATCCTCGTCGGACGTTCCCGGAACAAATGGTGGTCTACTGATTTGTAACAGTCCCTCCCAGTCAACTCCCCGGAAGAAATCGTGGCTCTTGATCTCCGTCGTTGATATTCTCTGTTTCGGATCCTTCACCAGCAACTTTCGAATCAAGTCTCTCAACGGCGTCGGCTCTCCGACGACCTCCGCCGTCTTCGACAGAATTTGGTAAAATGTCTCCTTTCGGTTTATTCCTTTAAACGGCGTCTTCCCGTACAACATCTCGTGCAAAACGACGCCTAAACACCACCAGTCCACCGAGAAATCATGGCCATTGCCTTGTAGCATTTCAGGCGCAACGTACTCTTCCGTTCCGACGAAGGAGTTTGATTTTGAGAAGGAGTGACGAGGCTCGCAATTCGTTTCTGAGACTGAGTTGTCGACTGACTCGGCGGTAGGGTGTACCGAGTCCTCCACCGGAATGGCCGGGCGACAACAATTGGAAAAAAATGAAAATCGGTTTTTGTTCTTTGTTGATGTCTCGGATGTCGTCGGCGACGGCGACGGCGTGGTTTTTGGTGATCGAGCTTCGCACGGAGGTTTGGGTGATAATTTGGTTGATAGATCGAAATCGACAAGCATTAGGTGTCCGTTTTCCTGAATCATTACATTTTCTGGCTTTAAATCTCTGTAAACGATCCCCAATCCGTGAAGATACTCCAATGCAATCACCAACTCCGCTGCATAAAACCTAAAATCACAAAATCAAAGAGACTACTGTTATATAAAAATTTGATTAAAGTTAAACAGCAACTCGAGTAGATAAAATTCGATTTAGTTAGCATCTTCAATCTCCAATCTGGAATCCAAAGTAAAACCTCTGAACAATGCGTTTACAGAGTTGACTCAGAGGACACAAAATTCACCTGATTATGTCATCGGAAAACATTCTCTCCGTTTGTCTCTTACGAAGGCAATTGAGATCACGCCCGGGACAATAATCAATGGCGTACCCCACGATATTCTCGGTGGATACAACACCACGAAGTTTCGGTAGCAATGGATGCTGTGATAGTCGCAACACCTCCTGCTCAAAGAAAATCTGCTTACTCTCATTACCATCGATATCTGTCTTCTTAACATTCTGCTTACTCTTAATGGAAGCTCTCAAAATCGTCTTCAAAGCAAACAAATCTCCATTGGACGACTCGTCTTGGACCAGAAACACGACGCCCCTGGCTCCTCGACCTAGCGCCGATAAGACTTTCAATTGCCGGAGGTCTAACACCGGGATTTGATTTTGATCGTCGTCCATGGTGAGTACAGGTACAAACTCTTTCTGCTCTCCAATTTTCAAAAATTCTCTTCTCCGATTGATTCGATTGCGATTTTATAGTTAACTGATTGAAATTTTATAATATTTGATCTGGGGATTTGGGGTACGTGATGAAGGGGGTATTGCTTTTTCCTTTTTTCTTGGTGATGAAGCATCAAACACAACACACACTTGGTATGCGAAAGAGAGTTAGTTCGAAAGGGAAATTGCTTAGCTATTACATATGACTCGATTGGTAAACAATAAAAGTGTGTAATAAAAGCGAACACAACCTTTTTTTTTTTTCTCTAGAAGAAAGTAACTTGTCAAAATGCTTATTTGCCTTGTTTCTTTTTAGTTCCAGTTTTTAATATATTAATATAAATCAAATTATTTATTATTTATTTATAAATATGTTAAGGTCGTTGCATTTAGTTTATCAATCGTTTCGTTTATCGATCCCTTTCGATAAAATCCGAACCAAGTTTTTAATATATTAATATAAATCAAATTATTTATTATTTATTTATTAAAATTTGCGTTAGGTTAACTCACGACATTTTATTTTTTCCATGTCATTTCATGTTCATATCATTTTACACTTAAATCATCTGATACCTTCATAGCCCTCATTGATAGGAAATGACAACCTCTTACTTACCTCAAAATATACAAAAATGAAATATTATATTGTACAATAATATAAAACATTAAAAAAAAGTATGGTGCTTTCTTCTTTTGCAGGGGATGTTTCACCGCATACCAGACAGTATGGTATTTACCGCACTACCGTGGTGCCAATTCACCTTATTGTTATGTGCGGTGTTGGTATACATTATGACCTTAGATGAACTTTGAGTGATATTATGTCCAACTCAATATGCTTTTAAAACTCATAATTCATGTTTGACATAATTTAAAGTTAAACATCCTTCCTAATAAATGAAAATAATTTTACTATTTGTCATCCTCTTATGTGTTATGCTACATGTCATTTTGTGATAAAGTTAGATTAAATTATATCTATGTGTTATTTTGTGGTTTTTTCCATTTTATTAATTTTATATAATATAATAATTAAATGTAATAATAAATGTATATCCAATTCATTAATACAACTTTCTTTGTAATTTTTAAATTTAATCCAATTATTTTAGTTGTTTATTTATTTAAATTATTAGTTTAGGCTACTAGGAGTGGGCATCCTCAAAATCTTGGCCAGAAAAGACCGATTTCTTTTATGTTTTTTAAAATAATTTCAGAGTAAATCTTTTTAATTTAAAAGAGTTGCGGAATTTATTCTCAAAAACAAAATATGATAAAATAATATTTATCAAAGCATTTCATCAAGAGATGGATTTTCATTATATAATCAAAACTCGGGATGTCATGTTCCGATACAGACCATAAAGCATAAACGATAACATTACAAGTCATTCAACAAATATATACATATACATACTTGTAAACAAAATAACTTGATGATTCATCCATCTTATGCCCTCGCGTCACTACCTGTAATACAAATAAACTGAGTGGGTCAGGCTTGGGAGCCTGATGAGCATATAGGGTTTTCAACCCACAATAAATAATTATATTTAATTTCACCAACCAACAATAACCCGATTATCCATTCCCGTTATCCTCACTTTATGTCCCTAAAACAACATCTATCTCAAGGGACCTAATCTAGGATTTTCATCGGGACGGACGTTACTGCTAAGGGGTTTCCTCAAAAATAGATATCCTAAAGGCAACCATGAGGGGGATAAAGTACACCGGTGAACACATCGTTCACAAAACCTACAGGTTGTGAACCTGCTAGCGTTCCATAGGACTGTCTAGAAAGAGTCTGTGGTCGTTATCTATATTCCGCTGAATAACTAGACCAATAACAACAACATTAAGGCCTCTCATCTGTTTATCACACATCAACTATCTACCCATGTTCTACCCAACATATTAGTAGATAAAAATATATATTTTTATGCATAGTGTAAAACCTGTATAGCATTCTCATTCAATACATATTCCAAACAACAGATGAGACATATACACATAACACATATTTCATAGAGAATAAATCATATCTATGAGATAGAAGAAAGTGAATATACATTTACACATATAACAACAAAATAAACACATAACACGTATTTCGTATAAAATACTTCATAATTATGCGTTAGAAGAAAGTAACTACACACTCACTTGATCAGAAGATGACCGGACAGCATTACGACTTGTAGAAGTAGTATTCTTCGATAGATCTGGAAGATCTTCACAAAAACCGGGCTTCTTGCGGGCAGAGCTTCGGCTCGAGAATTACACTTCTCGGGATCTTCAGGGCTTCGGGAGTTGCTTCGGGGCTCAGGATTAATATCGGGGCTTCGGGAAAATTCTTGCACGAAAAGCAAAGTAAAATAGGAGAGAGAGAGAGAGAGGGGGGGGGGAGAGAAATTGAGCAAAAGAATCGGCTGCATATGAGGAAATTATGAATTTTCATAAAAAGAAAGTTGTAGTATTCATTAAACCGAGAATTTTCATAAAAAGAACGTCCAAATCTAACTTTATATGAGGAAATTATGATTTTTCTAAGTTTTGATATAGCAGTAGACAACTAAAAACTCGAAATAAAGATCAAGTGATTTTTAGTCGACACAACCTAAATGAGAATCGAGGGTCAAACGAAAACGGACATCGGATGAATAAGTTATGAATTTTTAACATATTTTTCCTGTCCCGGCCCGTTAAAAATATAATATTACAAATTAATTCAAAATTATCCTACGGAGTCTAAACAAAAATTGTAGAGTATAATCTCATCTACGCGTGGATATAAAGAACGTCAAAAACGGAGCTCGTACGCAAAATATATGAAATTTTGAAGTTTTTAAATAAAAATAATTCAAAAATCCAAGCATTATCCGAAGGGTACGCTCAGCGTACTTCGCTTTGTACGCCCAACATACTTCGCACTTGCAGGGTCTCGGATCAACCACGTCCCTCTCTCTTCCCACGAAGTGCCACGTCCGAGCCCGGGTTCCGATCAGATAACTTATCGCATATACACCCCGCGTACGAGGGCTACATCCTGCGTAGATGGCCGCCTTGCAGCACGTCCGAGGGTCTCTGGAATTATGTTACATTTTTATTATTTCCTTTCACTCTAAAACCCCTTTTAGCACACTTTTAACCCCCAGAAGCCCCCAATATCATTTCTGACACCCGAAGCAAGCCCCAACGCTCCAAATTTCTCGAGAAAATTTTTTTTCAAGTCGAAACTCTACCTGAGTAAGGCCGGTTTTCAACTAAAATCCTCGGTTTCATCGCATAAAGTCATATTTAAAGCCGAAGTGTTGTCCAAATTATCATTTATTCCTTTGGTTATTTCACTGTGCGTTTCAATATATTGACAGTTGTATGTTATGTGTTATATGTTCAGTGTGCTTTCCCATGTTATTATGATAATGAGCTATACCTTAGGCCATGAACTGTATGGCATAAGCATCACTTGGGTATTGGTATGTAGCATTTGGCCATAAAGTGGATGACATAAGAATCACATTGGCATTAACTTCCAAATTTAATGAAAAATTAGGAAACACTGCAAATCTTCTATTGATAATGATTCATGTAATCTACATGGATGATGGGACCCCCTTCGATGATCATGGCATTTGTGAGGCTATGGGTCTCTCTTATGTATCATTCTGGATGGTAGTAAGCATTCACCATTAACTCAAATGTCTAAAATGCCATTGGAAGGAAACTATATAATAATGGTCATAACTCATCATGTATATTTCATATGTGCTCCTTTGTCTTTAACCTACCATAAATCAAACATATAATTGAACGAAACAAGATAATCTTCAACTTATAGCAATGTACTTTGGTGCAAATGCTAAAAATGGCAATTTACTTTGGTGAAAATGTTAAAATAATGTTCACTTTCATTATTTTTTTTATAGGAAAGGAGTAGGCATGTTCTCAATGATAAAAAGAATGTGTAAATGCTCCTTTCTAAAAAGTGATTTTTTTTTGCTTGCCTGAAGGCAAAACTGGATGCAATTTGGGTATTTTTAACACCATTACTTTACAGGGAAGTTGTGCAGTTAAAAAGACCATTTTCCAGGCCTTTTGTCAACTTTATAAAGATCAAAATACGTATTTTTTATAGCATACGTTTTCATCTAGATGACTGTTTTTTTAATTTTTATAGAAAATCATCAAACATGTTAGGGTGCTTTTTTGCAATTCACTTTGAAGAAAATGGGAAAAAATTAAATTGGTTATTTTAGCCAACTTTTGACAGGAAATATTCCAAATGGTTATTTTGTTTACAATAATATATTTTGCTGAAATTGTAAAAAAAATGTTGATTTTAAAAAAAAAATTGAACAAAAATCATCAAATTTGTTAAAGTGTTGATAGCAATGTATTTTGGTAATAGTGTTGTCGAAACTGAGCTTGAGAAACATGATGATGGCAACTGTATAACGTTTTTTATAAAATAAACATATACATTTTTCATAATATAGAAATTTTTGCACAAATAGCACAATAGAAAATAACCATTTATTCTAAAAACCATCTTCTTATTGTATAATTGTTTGAATAAAACATGTTAATACATTAAGAATTGTCAATAAAATATAAAAATCAAAAATAAATAACACAAAGTACATCGGGTGGCTGTTGATGATCTAAATATACAAATTATCATTTGGATATTAAAACCATTATACTTTCGATATTTCAACTAATCATTATATCATCATGAAATTACTGATAAAATATATATTTATTAATTTTTTTTTTTATAATCATTGCTCAATTATTAAGTTATAGTTTAATTAATTTTTCTCAAACATTTTAAAATGTCCTCCAACCTTTAAAAGTCAAAATACTTTTAATATCACTTATTTCAACTAAATAACATCTTTTATGTTATTTTTTTTAAACTTAGGTCAAATGACATAAATACCATTAATTTTTCAAAAAAATATTGGTTTTACCTTTGAACATGTTTTAGTTCGAGTAAAGCCGGATGTTTTGTTTAATTTGTTCATTTATACAATTTTAGTTGGTTTCCAAGTCACCTACCGATTACTTGATGTCAGTAAAACTCTAAATTTTCAAAAAAGTTCAGATTTACCCTTAAGTTTTTAAAAATGTTCATATTTACTATTACATTGATTATTATTATTATTATTATTATTATTATTATTATTATTATTATTATTATTATATAATTAATATATTTTTAGATGTATAAAATATTTTATACATATATTTTTAAATGAGTTTCTAAATGTATAAAATATTTTTATA